CAGAAAATTTGGAGCAAGATCAGATAGGAGTGATAGAGGAAAGGATGAGGAGAAGGGTAGTGGATAGATCAAGGCAACTGGAGATGTCGATTGACATTACACTTGAATAGCTGGAGATTATAGCTCTCAGGGAAACTGGAATAGGGAAGGGAGTCCCACAGGCGAGAGGTGCGAAACATGAAGCTATTGGAGTAGAAGAGACGGCTACATTTAGGAGTTTCGACAGTGAAGGGGTGAGAGCGGGATGCCAGCCTCGTAGGGCGCTGGAACTCATGAAGTCTGGGAACCAGCGAATGCAGCTCCTCGGAGCAATTACCATGAAAGTATTTGTAAAACAGACAGAGAGATGCGACGACGCGTCTGTGAGAAAGTGACTGTAGACGAGATGCCAGAGCAGGGCGAATTATATCGCATATCCGCCTCTGGGGCCTATCAAGAACCCCGAGACAAAAAGAAGGGGGCTCCAGACCATATATGGCAGCAATACTCCATGCAAGGACGAATTGTTGATTTGTAGATCTGGAGGATCGATTCCGGGGAGAAAAATTTCCTGGCGCGGCACAGGGAGCCAACTTTCCTTGCGGTGGACGAAGCAATTGACAAATGTATTTGTTCCCTCTCAGGTCAGCAGTCAACGTGAGACCGAGCAGCCGCAGAGAGGTGCTCCCGAGAAGTTGAGCGTCAGACATTCTAATGGAGGGCAGGGAAGGATCTCTGTGGTAATTAATAGAGGGCAGTTTTATTTTTGAAGCATTAAAGTTGACCAGCCAATTCCTGCCCCGGTTCACAACCGATTGGAGGTCCTTTTCGAGACGCACGGCCAGGTTAGTTTTCTCAGTGACATTAGATTTGTTTTTAAGGCAGGAATAAATTGTGGTGTCATCCGCGTAGATGCCAATTTGGGAATTTATGGCGTCAGGAAGGTCATTTATGTACATAAGGAATAGAGTGGAGTCTAGGATGGAGCCTTGAGGAACAGCTGCGTTCGTGAGATAGGAACTGGAGGAGAATCCGTTGAGAACGACCTTGAATTCACGGTTTGACAGGAATGATTGTATTAGGTCAAACAATCGACCCGTAATGCCATAACCCTGGAGCTTACGAAGAAGGCCGGCATGTCAAACCTTATCAAACGCTTTGGAGATGTCTCGGGCCACGGCACGAGCTTCCCCGTTATTTTGAAGAGCTTGGTAGACAGTTTCAGTGATGGCCGTAAGCACATCAGCTGTAGATCGGGCAAAGCGGAAGCCATATTGCTTGTCTGAGAGCAGATCATGGGATGTGAGGTGGTTAACCACTTTGGCATTGATTAGGGCTTCGAAGACTTTGCCAAAGAGGGGTAGGAGACTGATAGGATGGTAGTTAGAAGGGTCAGAGGGGTCGCCAGAGTTCTTGAAGACAGGAACAATCGAAGAGGACTTCCAGCAGTCAGGAAAACAAGATTCCTTGAGGCAGTAGTTATATAGTTTAGAGAGGGCGGGCGCCAGTTCAGGCGCGCATTTCTTCAAGACAATGGCTAGTATCCCATCTCCACCACTAGCCTTGTTGGGGTCTAAATTGGAGATAATGCCCAATACCAAAGACGGAGTTATGTGTAACCCACTCAATAGGGCCTCAGTTCTAAGAGGGAAGTGGGGTATGGGTACACCAGAAGAGTCGAGCGTTGAGTTGAATGAAAATTTCCGGGAAAAGCATTCAGCCTTGTCGGCAGAGGAGGTCAGGACTTCGAACTGGTTGAACAAAGGAGGTATAGAAGGTTTGCAATTGTTCAATACGCTCTTGCAGAGACGCCAATAATCTTTGGAGCCAAATTTGCGAGATGCAATACGCTCCTTCATCCGAGCAGCAAATAGTGACTTAGCATCGTTGAGGACACGCTTAGACTCGTTGCAGGCGGAGGCAAAGAGACATCTATTGCGGTCAGACATGTCGCTACGAAATAGGTGAAAGAAGTGGTTCCTATGGGCGATGGCGGCTGAGCAAGCAGCGGAGAACCAGGGGGAGGAGCGCGACTTGACCCTATATTTCTTTGAGGGGATGAAAGCGTCGATTCCAGCTTTAACCCAGGATGAGACCTCAGAAGCACATTCTTAGACGGGGAGCGCAAAGACAACATCCCAGGGGACATCGCGGAGGAAATCACGGAACGCGTCCCAGTCAGCTCGTTACTAGTAGAACGAAGTTCTAGTGGTAGGAGGTTCTTTGCAGGGGGCGGAGTTGAAGGAGATGTTAACAGAGTTACCAAGAGGGCAGAGTTGCGAGGCGCTACAGGACTCGGGAATGGAGGTAAAACACAGATCGAGTAGAGAGGCTTTACCTTCCCGGCTGAAGGCAAAACGAGTGGGGAAGTTAACTATCTGCGTGCGGGATTGAGAGACTGAAAAATTGAGCGTTTGAATGCCTGCGTGGTCAGTAGTAGCATTCTTAAGCCACATGGTATGATGGGCGTTAAAATCGCCAAACACAAATATGTGAGCAAACGGGCGGAGGGAGAGAGCCTTGTCTATGCTGTCAGAAATGCTATCGAGTATCTCACAGTCTTGAGAGGATGGAGAGCGGTAAAGGAAGAAGAGATAGCTTACAGCATTGAGAAGAGATAGTCGGAGACACATGTACGACTGGTCTGGCGATTCGAGAAACAACTCTCTGGCCAAAGGGAGATTATCATTGACGTAGACACCAAGGCCGGGCATGTGGGTTAGAGAGTCTTTTTTGAGGAGAGGGAGGTAGCCTGGGATCGAGAGATCAGAGGAGGGGATAGACCAGACAAGGTTGGTCTCACAGAGAGCCAGTATATCTGGACAGTTTGCAGTGAGGAAAGATTCCATACTGCAGAAGTTCGTTCTAATGCCACGGATGTTGGAGAACGAAATGTTGAGGGGTTTAGGCGATTTTTGAGGGGCTGGTTTAGGATTACTTTTTCGGTCTTTGTAAGTGATGTGGAATTTTGGTTGGAAGATGAGAAGGCCCGAAGTAAAAGAAGCAGACAGTTATCAACCGTGACGTGGGCAGAGAGGAGTTGGCACAACCTGTATCATAATGCGGCCTCAGAGTTGCCCACCGGAGGTGACTGCATGGACACCTTTCCATGCGCGACATGGCACTACAAACACCCCGGTATTATACAACTGCTGATCACACTCAAGACGCTACGGAAGAGTTAGGGCTCCTAAGTACCAGTCGGAAACAGCAACCAGAGAACTGTCAACCGTGTACCCTCAGAATGAAGAGGTGATGCCACAGACTGCACACATCATGGGAGAAACAGAGCTGCACTAATACAGAGGCCAGAGAGAGAGAGAGAGAGAGAGAGAGAGAGAGAGAGAGAGAGAGAGAGAGAGAGAGAGAGAGAGTACCGGGAACCCCTTCCTAAACAAGAAACAAGGCGTAAGTCTCTACTCATGTCCAAGAGAAGGGGGAGGAGTGTTGACCGGGCGGTAGGAAAGCCTACCTACTCTTATTACATATAACACATACAAGAATGACAAAAACAGAGGGAAGGATAAGAGGGGGGAGGTAATTGGCAAAGAGTCCTGGCTGACACTTGGATTTTACCCTTTCGCAACATTAAGTTTTAACTTAGTATAAGTCCCATTGTCTATTCTAAAACGAAATTGAAGATAATAAGTTTATCCGGATTTATTGCTATGCCATAATAAATGCCCCAACATACGTGGCAGCGATAGAAAATAAGAGAAAAATGAAAATGAGTTTTCGGTAGAGCGAAATTATACTCACACAGGGCAGCGAGTGTTTGTCCGCTTTCTTCCTCATGATAACAAGTAAATGTACAGCTTACCTTAACTCTAAGCATCGACCTTAGGGAATCAACGGCCAATCCTCCGCCCTCACCAAATAGTGGGCTTGGGAGGCATGCTTTCAATAAAAATTAAGAACAACAGGAGAAAGAACGGCGAAAACAATTCCAAGTTCAGAAAATTTCATCCTAGACGCAATCGTCAGGACGATTGCGTCTAGGATGAAATACCATGTCGCCTCTAAGTGTTGACTTCAATGTTCACTTATATATATATATATATATATATATATTGACCACTTTGATGGTTCAACATAGTGTAATGGTAATCTCTTACATAATATCTCCTGAACTTTCTTGACGTCGTCCCAATCTCGAGCTCGGAACAGGTTGTACATGTCCAGTCATTCCATTAGGGAGGTATTCCTCCCTCTTTCTTCTCGCTGCGCCAATGAAGAAAAGTATGTGAGCGCTAAGCGGGACACTTTTTCCCTGAATAAATATTTGCGTATTTGACAATATGACCTCATCGTTTAGTGTAACGACATCATCTGCTGGCTTTGATTGCTTCCTCTTTAGCACACGCACGCACGCACACTCACACACACACGCGCGCTCGTACGTAGGCGCCAAAACATGTTTTTTTTTAATATCTCGAACCTTTCATCAAAATGCTATGATATATAATGAAACAGTTTTCTACGATTGTCTGTTCCATCAAAGAGATACTTTTCATTTCAAGAACTATTCTGAAATGAAAGGCTCATCAAGTCTTTAGATCAGAATAGTTCACACACACTCACACGCACTCTCATACGCATGTGTATGCACACACACACACACACATGCGCATACACGCACACTCACCCGCACGTATAGCCAGCACATACATATACACACACACACGCACACACATGCACACAGAGACGCACACATACATACACACACGAGCGCGCGCGCACACACACACACACACGCACACACATCATAAATGAATAGTAAATAACCGATAAAGTTGGAGATATCAACCAATAAAAATTCATGGAACCATCGACGAAATTTCAGACAACAAAAGGTTTTTAATTTGACAAAAACCATGAATAAAAATTAAATGAAGCTATTAAAATGATGACTCTGTATTGTTGTTTTTGTTGTCATTAGATTTTGGCTTGTCTTCTTGCATCTTATCCTCTTCCGCTTTTTATATCAACTTTCATACTTGAATATGCTGCGTATACTGAAAATGGAAAAAAAAAAAATCAACCTCTCTATATTCTCTATCTTTGTAGCCTGTCTTTACGCAACTGTAGCGTTACCAATTTGTCTACGAAGCTATATTCCTTACTTCTCTCATCCTTGTTACATCATTAACCTGTTTGCTTATTATTTACAATAGTACAATAGATGTAGAACTCTTAGATGTGGTAGTAATGAAAATCAAGAAGAAAGAAAAAAACTAAAAATTGTCTCATCAAACAATTTTTGCGCTTCATTGGGCTCACGTTTTCCATTGACATGAAGTGGAGGGATTATAGTGAATCAATTGCTAGATCTACTGCTCAGAAAGTGGTTCACTTTGACGAGCCAGAAAATATTTCTAGTCAGAATTCATCTTGAACATTTATAAATCTACCATTTGTCCGGGCATTGACTATTGCTCCCATATCTTGTCAGCTGCCCCTGCTATATATCTCGAGAGTTTTGATAAAATTCAAATATGGGTCTGTAATGTTATCGGCTATGATTTGATATCTTAAATTTTGATCTATCTATCTATCTATCTATCTATCTGAAACGTAGAAGTCTATCCCTTGATTTGTTTAAGATTGGGTTTCTGGATACTCCTAAAGTTTTCCCGTTCTCTTTCACTTAGTGAACTGATAGATATAGATAGATAGAAAGGTTTTTTAATCTATCTATCTATCTATCTATCTATCTATCTATCTATCTATCTATCTATCTAAGACGTAGAAGTCTATCCTTGATTTCTATTTAGGATTGGGTTTCTGAATACTCCTAAAGTCTTCCCGTTCTCTTTCACTTGGTGAATTGATAGATATAGATAGATAGTTTTTTTAATCTATCTATCTATCTATCTATCTATCTATCTATCTATCTATCTATCTATCTTTGCCTTCAAAACAAAACTGCTTTCATTTAATTATCCCAGAGAAGCTTTTTTGTCTGCCATCTGCATGGCTGATGCTAAACACAAGGAGAGAAACACTCTGCGTCATTTGGACTCATATTTTCCACTGACTTGAAGTGAATTAACGATGTCGAATCTGTTATGTCTACTGCTAGGAAAGTGGGTTCATTGTATCACGCCACAATCTTTCCCGTCAGAATCCATCTTGCATATTTATAAATCTCGCATTCTTTCGTGCATTGAATACTTCTGCCATATCTTATCTGTTGCACCTGCTGTATATCTCGAGAGACTTGATAAAATTCAAAGAAGTGTTTGTAATGTTATCAATCCTGAACAGGAATCTCAACATTAGTCACTTTCTCACCGACGCGACGTGGCTTTCTTCTGTCTTTTCTTTAAATATTTCCAGTGAAGTTATTCCTATGAGCTTTTTTCTTTATTGCTTCGACTGAATGAATTTAAGCGTGCTACTAGATTGGCAACTGGGCCCCACCATTTTAATGTTGAACTAGCCAAAGGCAACTGTATATTCGATTCTAATAGGTTTTTCTTTTCTCGCAATTCTTGGCTGTGGGACTTACTTTCGATTTATTGCTCACCTGCCATTTGTAATCTTAAAAAAATTAAGACCCATCGCCATTTTCTGTCTTCCTGATCCTTGTTTCTTTACTGTTATTTTTCTAAATTCTTCTCACTAAGGTTTTATTCTCTTTCACTCCATGTACGCTCCTGCGTCTTAGTGGCTTTATCACCTTGCTTGGGGTGAAATAATTAAAAAAACTATATGTTTATTGCTGTCTGTTTACTATCTATCTATCTATCTATCTATCTATCTATCTATCTATCTATCTATCTAGCTAGCTAGCTAGCTATCTAGCTATCTAGCTATCTGTTTCTGATGAATATTTATCTATTTACTTATGAATTTGAGACGATTATTCATGTAGTGGAGAAAAAAAAAACAACCAGAGACTCTCCTTATTTCAATTACCCCCTCATAATTATATATTCCACCAACCCTTTAATTTTTTAGAGTGGATTCCATTACTGAAAATTATTAAAACATTCCAGCCAGCCATTTTATTCCAACGTCTATATTTATTGGAAACTCAAGTGTATCTATCTTTTGGCCCGCCCATCCATCCATCCATCCATCCATCCATCCATCCATCCATAAACCAACCAATCTATCTATCTATCTATCTATCTATCTATCTATCTATCTATCTATCTTAACTCTGGCTATTATCAAGGTCAGGGAATAACCGTGAATGTGTTAGTTTTAAAAGAACTAAATCATATAAGATTAAGCTATTTATCTTGCAAATATTGAACATAGTTGAAACGATAATTTCTACTAAATAAATTTGCAATGCCTTAGCCTTGATTGCTATTTATTTTAATTGTACTTAATTAGACTTGTACGAATATCTATCTATCTATCTATCTATAGTGGCTGAAAATTTCTAGACATAGCGTAATTTATCAGTTTCCTAAGAAACTCTAGCTATATCAACCTATTAAAATGACACCAGCATTTCTCATATTTTTATCATTGGCATTTTTTTTTTTAACTTTCTGCGAATAAAACTGAAACTTGAGCAGTTTAATTTAAAGACCACAAGCAAAAAATGTTTATGTTTTGAAATCTTTTCTTGTTTCCAGCGCAGATCAGTAGTTAGTCAATGTAAATATTTTCTCAGAAAGTTTTAATCAAGCGCTTTCAGTTATTCATTTATCCACTATTAAGGTACACGATCTTAATGATTGAGAAAAAAAAATTAAATTATTGATGTTTTACTTATTTCTCTTTTTAATTATCGGCATGATAGTAGCCGTGTTCTTTCTTTTAAGATCATTATAAATAAATACGTTGGCTTTAGTAAATTAGTCATCGTCTCATTGAGAAAATACAATCGTCAAAAACTAATCATTTCTCTCGCATGGATATTTCTGAAATCACTGACAGTTGGGAGGGGGCTATTGCAGAAATATAATATTAATATCTATCATTATTAAAATTAATAAGTGAAATATGTAAAAATAAGTAAGTTATTCTGGAGAGAGTGGGGAAATTTTAAGAAAGAAAAATGAAAGAATATAGTGGTACTGAGAAAGAAAGAAAGAAAGAAAGAAAGAAAGAAAGAAAGAAAGAAAGAAAGAAAGAAAGAAAGAATTTGGGAAATATCAAGAAAGAAAGACTGGATGGATATTAAAGAGAGAAAGAAGTTGAGAAATATCAGCATAGAAAAAAGAAAGAAAGAAAGAAAGAAAGAAAGAAAGAAAGAAAGAAAGAAAGAAAGAAAGAATAGAGCGACTTTGAGAAAGAAAGAAAAAAATTGGGAAATATAAAGAAAGAAAGGATTTGGGAAGTATAAAGAAAGAAAGAAAGAAAGAAAGAAAGAAAGAAAGAAAGAAAGAAAAAAGAAAGAAAGAAAGAAAGAAATGAAAAATATTAAGAAAGAAAGGAAGAAAGAATGGAAGAATTTTAGCAAAATCAATAAATAAATAAATAAATAAATAAATAAAGAAAGAAAGAAAGCAAGAAAGAAAGAAAGAAAGGAAGGGAGGAAGGAAGATTGGAGAGATATTAAAGAAAGAAAGAAGTTGAAAAAAAGAAAGGAAGAAAGAAAGAGTGTAAGAAAGAAAAAAGGAAGGAAGAAGTTGTGGGTAATTATAAAAGAAAGAAATAGTGAAGAATAATAAGATATAAAGAATGAGGGGAAATCAAAAAAGAAAAAGTCAGGAGTATTAAGAAAGAAAGAAATAATGAAAGAATGTAAGAAAGAAGTTGAAAGATTAGAGAAATATTAAAACATAAAATCATTGTGCGTAAAAGTAATAATAATAATAATAATAATAATAATAATAATAATAACGAGAAGAAGAAGAAGAAGAGGAAGAAGAAGAAGAAGAAGAGGAAGAAGAAGAAGAATTGCTCTGATGCTGCAGCAGCCATAGCTCTCTTAATTGATTCGAGATGTTAACATGTTTTGTCTTGATGAATTAAGATGAGATAGTGTAAATATCCCGTTCAATACCACAGATTTGTTTATTAGTTGCCTGACCAGTTGGCACGCCCAACTCCTCTAGGAGCTGACGCATCTCTGTTGATAAGCGGGAGTAGTGGGGGAATATCATGCCCGGATGTCGAGAGGGTTTTTTTTTTTAATGGTGAAGGATGAGACAGCCAAGGCGACTTGGGAGTTAGATCAAGATACTTCTCAATCGGAGATCATCTGAACGGACTAGATTACTAGGCATTTCTAACTGGTTATACGTAGCTCTTATCAAATTCTGTCACTATATCGCACACATTTGCCCATCATGCGTGTGATTGGCATATCTTTATCAGACTAAATTTCATGGTGGGGATATTGAATTTCGTATATTTGTACTTTGTACACTTTTTTAGTGTACTACTCTCTCATTCAACAATAACAGCGATAATAATAATAATAATAATAATAATAATAATAATAATAATAATATTTTTTAAATATTTTTCTAAATATTTTTTTAATTGCTTAGTGAAAAATGTCATGATGCAATTTCTGACCTTAAGTCTCTGGTCGAACCCAGAAAGAAATGTGTACATACCAAAAATCAAAGTAAATAAAATAATAATAATAATAATGATGGTTATAATTAAAAGAAGAAGAAGAAGAAGAAGAAGAAGAAGAAGAAGAAGAAGAAGAAGAAGAAGAAGAAGAAGAAGAAGAAGAAGAAGAAAAGAACTGCTCATTCACATGTCTGTCTCCACCGAAAGAAACACCTCTCTGAAAACTACAAAATAATCACTACATATAAAAATCTACAAAGAGAAATTGAGAGAATGTGAGGTACAATGATCACAACAAGGTCAGTGATAATAGGAACACTCGGATTGGCCAGGACGATAAATACACCAAAAGACATCCATGACAAAAGAAAGATACAAGAAGTTCAGAAGATCGTTTGCCTTGGAAGACTTTATCCTTCAAATAAATAAATGACACCCTCAGGGTAGTCCCAGGTTAAAAGGGACAAACTCAGCTCCATGAGGGAACGTTAACGACAACATCTGACTGCACTTTGCTGGACCAAAGTCTATTGGCCAGGAATTTTGAGGCAAGCCTAACAAAGTATGAATTTGTTGTTTATATGAACAAAACGTTTGGGCTAATGATCTCTTAGTGTCTGGTTGCCCAATCTTGAAACTGAAGGAATACATGATAAGTTTGGGCAATATATTCATTAGAATATGTGTCAGTATTACAGTGAAATAGATGTTGAAAATGGAATGACCATCACCTGTAAGGCTTCTAATCGGGAGATTGGAGATTTTGAGGAGCATGAAACTAACTCTTAATTGCTGTTGTTCCCAGGTCCACACTAACCTGGGGTGGTAGAACCTGTTAGGGTCCCAGCTATGAGCGAATAGTGAATCCACAAATAAAAGCACCATGAAAATATAAAAATATATTTTTATAGTAAAAATAACAGCAATACTTTTTTTTATATAAAAACGATGCATATTCATAGTAAATTTGCCAACAAAACATTTTATAGAAAAATAACCAACAATACATTTTATCTGTAGTTGAAGCCATAAAAGATGTGTTCAATATATTTAGATTTAGGCATTAAATAACCCATAGAGGTTGATATACCGTTAAACAAAATCATTCATATGACCATATGAAACAGTTATAAAAAACGCATGGTCGCTGTTCTTTGAAAATTTATCAATCATACTGCCAGACATATAAAATCTATTGGAGCAGACATTGCGATTAAAGACAAAAAAAAAAAAAGGAAAAAAAAGAAAAAGAAAAAATGACTTTTCATAGAAATGGCAGTGGCATTAGATAAAAAAATGTATATGTTAAAAAAGAAGACAAAATAAGTAAATATAAAGATCTGGAAATTAAAATCGATATAAAAGCGACACCATACTATTATACATATACTAATGGGAGGCACGGTGGAGTAATGGATAGCAACCCGGAATAAGGAATCTGAGAGCCGAGTTCGAATTCCGGTGGAATCCATTACATTTACTTACGTGCTAATACCCGTGGGAAAGGTATGAATCCTCTTCTTTTCCCCACAGCTATAGGTAAATAGCCTTGGATGGCAACTGGTCTACCGTAGAAATAGCAACCTTCTACGGAAAAAAAAATCTGTCGTTTATCGAAATGGCACATAATTGACTGAATGAGAGTCCTGAGTATAACCAGAAAAAGTACAGACAAGAACACTAACAAATTCCTTGTCAGAACATCAGAATTTTGGGAAGCAATGTACATATTTAATATCTTGCTTTACGCCAGCGTGATAAGGGAATTTCAGAGTGCAAAAGAAGAGACTACTACTACTACTGTTTTAACGGAAGCTAAGTTTCAGCCATTGTTCAGTCACGGAAGTAACGTGTCGGCCATATTGTTATGTATGAATAAAAAGCAAGACTATCGACAGAGAAGTCACCAGATAAAAACAATGTTGTTATTAGTACGGACCCCCTTACCGAGAAGTGACTATTACTACTACTACTACTAATAATAATATTATTAATAGTCATTTCCTTCTAAGGAAAATTCAGAATTCATTGATCAAGAAGCCAGTGCTACCTTCGTGAATCTTTCGCTAAAACAATTTTTTCACGAAAATAAATCTCTCAAGTACAAAAACTGTTATCTTTTTACTGTATTGATGAAGGTTTCCTTCCTAACTTTTTGCTTGTAGTAGTGTGGAAAGTCAACCTCTTGTGGAATATCAACATCTTGATTATATCATTGTTTTCTCTCTCACATTTTTTACAGTAAAGTTCACTCTGTACAAGCCCCAGGGGCCACTCGAGGTAGAATGTTACGGTTAACTCTAGACTTGAACAGTAATCGGGGAAGCATCCTCTTGGGAGTCTGTTTTACAGAGCAGTGGTTTGCGGGAAGAAGCTGTTCGAGTGGAACTGGGTGGTTTGTTACTATGTAAGTAGCATGGTGGGTTCTAGCGGTGATGGTTAAACATGGCGGAACTAAGGAATGTAGTTTGTCTGAGTACTTTCCATGGGGTAGCGATAAAGCAGAGAGAGGTTGAAAGGTGGAAAATCATTCTTCTTCAACAAGGATTGGGAGAGGCTTTTGAACTCTGGAGAAGTGAGGACTGGGCATTTCCTTCTCGAATATGGCAGCACTACTCTATTTTCGGCCTGATCTGGTTCTTCGAAAGATAGAGGATAACATGAGGTGTCAGGTACTTATTGGAGTGATACAGGGAGCCGATCATTTTACCTGCATTTTTAACTATCCATTTTAGATGTTGCTGTTGTTGGAAGTCTTCCAGTGATGTAGTTTCTTCTCTTTGGTGCAGTTCATTGTCTGTGATTCTGCAGCGCTAGTTCACGCGGCTCGAAGAATAATGGCCCTCATTAAGTCCTATAGGCATCATTCACTCAAAGTCACTTTTAACCAT